TCTCTCTTTCTCTCTCTCTCTCTTTCTCTTGCTACCGGCAAATTGAAAAAAAGCGCTAAACAGAACAAAAATTCATTGCAACGGAGAATTTCGGGCAAGCTGAAGCAATTTTGATTTCTTAGATTTTTTCCTGCCAATTTTTTTCTTCTCTGATCTCTCTGAATAAAGTTTAACGCATATACAATCCCCAATAAAAAGAAATCTATATGTAATTAATATAAATATATTTCTATATTTATATGATTATATGTACAGGAAAAATAATAAAAATTGAAAAATAATTAAAAAAATAATTTTGGCATTGTTTCTTTAATAGAAAGTAAAGTTATATTTATATTTGATTATGTACATAGAATTATTTTTATCAGGGAAACAACTATATAACGTAAAGTATAAACACTTTAAGTGTAAGTGCGTAAGGTGATCTTTTTTAAAATAAAAGAAAAATTTTAGAATCGGGTTTAAGATTTTTGCGGAGGAGTCGAAGGAACGAAAGAAAAATCGGAGAAGTCTTATACGACGTACCTAAGCTTTCAACTAATACATTTTCAGTTTCGCGTATTTTCTCTTTCCCCCTGTACTTAACATGTCTTTAATTCAGCCGTCGAGAAAAAAATTTATTGTTTCAACAACGAACGCAGAATTGCAACTTCTAATTATAAGATTAAAAACGGTGTCAACCTAACACATGTATTGCTAACACATATTTTACAGACATCTGAGATCTACCACACAGTACATTTTTTCTCGGGGTTCATTTTGGAGCCGATTGGGCAATTAAAGTCGCGCGAGAACTCCTCCATGTTTGATAGTGGTCCATTAATGCGAAATTCGGGCGGGCTATGGGAATTCATCGTAATACGTAGCTTCAGTGCTTCCGGTCGATACTTGCTGCACCAAGAATTGGCCGTGCTTATCCAAAACATCTGCTCCGGGCTGTACGGCAAGCCGGGCAATCTCTGCTCCGGTTTGTTTCGTTTGACCCATTCTTTATACGCGTAATAAGCCTTCTTTATGCCGCCATTGTCCGCAATATTTTCACCCTGGGTGTTTATTCCGTTTAACTGTAACAATATAACATATATTAATACGATAAAATTTCAATTTGAAAAAATATTTTTATAAAATTAATATAATTGCGAAATATTTCATTTAAAAGCTTATAGCTTTTACAACATAGCCAATAAGTCTGAGTTGCGGAATAACTCATATAACATAATGGCATTTTTTCATACTTTATCTATATGATTAGATTTTTCTGCGTTAAAAATTTAAAAGAAATTTCAGCAAGGAAATAAATTTGATAAACGTAGAAATAGATATGTAAGATTTAATCTTACGTTCAATCCGACTTCTTTTACGGTATAATTTCCATACTGATGAATTATACATTCGGTTCTCTTGAGAAAACGTTTCTTTGTCTCTGACTCCCACCAATCCACAAGATTACCTTCCTTATTAAATTGTCTGCCTCGATCATCAAAACCGTGGGTAATTTCATGACCAATGACAAATCCGATGCCGCCATAGTTCATGTAATGTGG